TTTTAAATGAGATTTGAATAAACTGCAGGTGTTTTGTTTTCTAATCGTTACTGGGATTGAGTTCCACTGATGTGCAGCTTTAAAAGAAAAAGAAGATTGGCTGGTGAACTCTTCCTTAATGGAGCAACGCAGTCTCCTCTGGGTGCAGCTCTTGTTGACCTACAGGTGTGCGTATGGTGATAAAATGTCTGAGTGGAGGTGAGGCCGTGTCTTATTTTGTACATGAGGCCAGCATTTGCATATCTCATTACATTTTCCCAGCTCAACAAGTTGTACTTTGTGAGTATTGGGCAATGATGAGAATGAACATATCTTTATTAACGGGACATCATGTTTACCCAAACCAGTTCCTCTCTGAAGCTGCGCTGTCTTTACATCTGAATGTGAGGAGATACAGGTCTGAGATCAGGTCTCATAAAGCGACCCGGAAAACTGCTATAAATCCATTTAACCTCTTAAGCCCCAAGCCTGTTTTTCAGGTTTCAGGCTCGAAAATGACATGCCCAAAACAAAGGACTATAACTTAACTTCTAAAAGGGTTATATGAATAATTTCTTTTATCAAAGCAAGGTCACATCTGTGAGTTGGATGTAGAAGTGTCAGAATCAATAAAGATGTTTCAGTGTCAGAGTAAATCCAGATGGAACATAGTCAAAAAGTGTACATTTTTGTTTCCACCCAAATAAAACCCATTACTTATAGTGAAAACCACCCTTGAATGATGGGTTAGTAGCCTAAAAGCTTTAGGAATCCAAAGTATAACATAATAAGTACCCTGTATCAAGATTGAGGCAAAACAAGTGAGAATTGACCTTTTTAGAGAGATTTAGCAAAAAAAAGTCCAAGCGGACTAAGCTTTGGGCACATTTGGGTACATTTGGTTCCATCAGTGCCATTTAACCTTTTTCAGGTACCAGACTGTAAAAATCATTGTACAACATTTAATTATCACTATAGGTATTCATTCCATAAAAAATAAAATAAAAAAATTGTTAAAAAAAAATAAAAATAATTAAGTGTGTGTGTGTGTGGTGTGTGTGTGTGTGTGTGGAGTGTGTGGGAAGTTCCCTCTTTGCATGAGATGCATGTTACTTGCACAATAAAAATGAGGAAACTTAGGAAACATTTGACTCCAACTGGAGCAGATTTATTAAAAAAAAATTAGCAACACACTATACAACAAGCATTTTTTGGGTAAAAAAAAAACTTTATACAAACCCTGAATGTTACAGTATTACTCCAGTAAGTCATGCCATGCCCTGTAAAAGTTATTTTTGGTAGTGAAGCACAGAGGGACCTGACACTTCCTGCAGTACACAGGTGTCTTCACCCTTCAGTTGCCAGCATCAGAGCACCTCCTGCAGTACCTCCTGACCTTGGTGGCATCTTCCCCATAATACTCGGGCATCCAGAAGCCATATCCTCATCGCCTTCCTCACTGTGAAAACAAATGTGGAAAAAACAAATAGATTAATTCTCTGGCTTGTACTTTCAAAAATGTAACTCAAATCAGAAATAATTTCTCTACAACAACAGCAGAACATCAATTTTGAGTGTGTGAAATAACATTATATCACTCAAAATGTATACCGTGTAAATTATGTGAGACGGGGTTCATATAATCTGTTCAATATTTAATATTAATATTCTGTCTGTCATATATATGTGTGTATATATATATATATATATATATATATATATATATGTATGTATATATATATGTATGTATATATATGTATATGTATATATATATATATATATATATATGTATATATATATATGTATGTATATATATGTATATATATATATATATATATATATATATGCGTGTGTATATATATATATATATATTTAGTTGTAAGTCACTTTGGATAAAAGCGTCAGCTAAATGAAATGTAATACCGTGTTAAATTCAACATTGTATTTTTCAACAACAAGAACAAGAAACGGCATCCATCTTCTTTGTTGTTGAGTGTGTGAAAGAACATTATATCACAAGATGGATGCCGTCGTGTTATTGTCACGTGTGAAATTACTATAGATGAATACACTCTTACACCAAATAAATAACAAAAAGATAAAAACAGATGAATACTCTTACATCAAATAAATAAGTAATAGATACAAACAGAGAGATTACCTTTCCGGTGACGGAGGTTCATAATCAGAGTCATTACTGTCCCCTTCGTGCGTGACGAGATCACTATCTTCCGACGGAGAGTCCTGAAATACGATGTCCAATGCCTCCTCGACGGACAAAAAAGTCTTCTTTCTGGCTGCCATTGTTACAATGAAGACAAAGAAAACAAATCCTGCTGTTTCGCTGATCGATCTGCCGTTCTCTGCTCTCCTGTCGCCGCGGGACATGCTATGCTACGCTATAGCCTAGTATGCAGCGTACAAAGACTGGGTCGTGCGTAAATCAACTCTATTGCCTTTATTTATACTTACGAAAACTCCTATCTCTGGAACCCATTGGTCGATTTGGGTGATTGACACCTTTTTTGAATCGTTAGAGCCAATCGAATCGAGTAGCAGTTAGGGTTAGAATTACGTAAATACGTCATGCCTGCGTAGGGGGAGCTATGCGTAAAAAGCAGCTCCCGCAGCTGAAGCCACGGACTGTTAATCGTTGGACCTACTCTTCTGCCGTGAATGAAAGGATTGATTCTCAGTAATCATTTTAAAGTGACAAGAGACATTGGATTAACCCTGAGCAGCGTTTTTATTCCTTTGAACACAACTTTTGATCACAAAACAGCCAAGGTAAGACCTAATTATTGTCAGGGATTTGAAAACTGATATTGTTTACTTGCTATGTTGTGGCTGCCAGCTCGGTTAATGTTGTGCCTGTAGTGATGGGGTGTACACCCATGGAATCTGTGGAATCTCAGCTTTCAGAAAATGTGTTGTTTGTGCGGAAAGGATGAATTATAAATGATCGTTTTTGTGAGTTATGAGCAGACATAGCAATTGCCCGTTTTTGACATGGGGTCATTTAGAGGCTTCTTGTGAGACTTCTTTTTCGAAAACAATTTTTTTTTTCGTATCGTCAGTAAGCCAAGTTTCCTCCGATCAGATGGGTATGGAATATTAATAGTTTCATGAATGACACTTCAGATATAGCACTGTTGCTACATATATAGCATTTTCGGACCCGAGCTCGGGTCCGTGGGGTAGAATCAACTCAAGAGAGGGAGATCTTTTGTGCACAGTTTTATTATGTTTTTATCCTGACGTTTCCATATCAGTGCCATTCATGGAAACTCAGCTCGTGAGTTTTAACCTCCACTTATTATTTACAGCTGTCTCAGAGGACTTATATGACAGCTTAACATAGAACAGAGAGAAGCAGCAGATCAGAGAGAGGATCTGCAGAGACGTTTCATATGAATTCATTATTAAAAATAGAGATTGTTTTCTTTAGATCGTCAGAAAAATGCAGCTCTACTTTAGAGCTACATTTTTATTCATGTAGAAAGCCATTTCAGGAAAGCTTCCACTCTCCATCTGTGCCAGATCTGCTCCAGCTTGTGACTCTCACAGCCTCAGACCCAGTGCCTGGATACGGGTCCAGGTGCCTGGATACGGGTCCAGGTGCCTGGATACGGGTCCAGGTTCCTGCTGTGCGGACTGAGGCTGGAGAAAGGAGTCTTTTTCATTCTGGTCCTTGGTCTTGGAACGACCTTCAATCACGCCTCAAACTGAGGGCACTTGTCTCTATAGCCTGTTTTAGATTGAAGTTGTCTGAGGTCCTTCCCTCCAGCTGCTCTTGCAGTGATAAGTAGCACCTTTCTGACTGTCCTATGTGCTCAATGTAGGGACTGCTTCTCCTCTTTCGTTTTCTCTGTATTTCATATGTCTGTGTTCTGTGTCACGTTGCTGCCTTCTTGGCCAGGTCAGCTTTGAGCATGAGATTTTATCTCAATGCTTTTATCTGGTTAAATAAAAAAAATAAAAAAAGAGACGCATTTTATAGGGATGGTACAAATGTGTGTGTGTCCTCTAAGCAGTGTGTGTGTGTGTGTGTGTGTGTGTCCGGTGTGTATGTCCTCATAAGCAGTGTGTGTGTGGTGTGTGTGTGTGTGTGTCAGGTGTGTGTGTGTTGTGTGTGTATGTCCTCATAAACAGTGTGTGTCCCCGGTGTGTGTGTCCTCTAAGCAGTGTGGGTGTGTGTGTGTGTCCGGTGTGTATGTCCTCATAAGCAGTGTGTGTGTGTGTGTCAGGTGTGTGTGTGTTGTGTGTGTATGTCCTCATAAACAGTGTGTGTCCCCGGTGTGTGTGTCCTCATAAGCAGTGTGTGTGTGTCAGCTATGTGTGTGCGGTGTGTGTGTGTGTGTATGTCCTCATAAGCAGTGTGTGTGTCCCCAATTTGTGTGTCCTCATAAGCAATGTGTGTGTGGTGTGTGTGTGTCAGGTGTGTGCGGTGTGTGTCCTCTAAGCAGTGTGTGTGTCCCCGGTGTATGTGTCCTCATAAGCAGTGTGTGTGCGTTTGTCCCCGGTTTGTGTGTCCTCATAAGCAGTGTGTGTGTGGTGTGTGTGTGTCAGGTGTGTGCGGTGTGTGCGTATGTCCTCTCAGCAGTGTGTGTGTGTCTGGTGTGTGTGTCCTCATAAGCAGTGTGTGTGTGGTGTGTGTGTGTCAGGTGTGTGCAGTGTGTGCGTATGTCTCAGCAGTGTGTGTGTCCCCGGTGTGTGTGTCCTCATAAGCAGTGTGTGTGTGGTGTGTGTGTGTCAGGTGTGTGCGGTGTGTGCGTATGTCTCTCAGCAGTGTGTGTGTCTGGTGTGTGTGTCCTCATAAGCAGTGTGGTGTGTGTGTGTCAGGTGTGTGCAGTGTGTGCGTATGTCTCTCAGCAGTGTGTGTGTCCCCGGTGTGTGTGTCCTCATAAGCAGTGTGTGTGTGGTGTGTGTGTGTGTGTGTGTGCGGTGTGTGCGTATGTCTCTCAGCAGTGTGTGTGTCCCCGGTGTGTGTGTCCTCATAAGCAGTGTGTGTGTGTGTGCAGGTGTTCGTGGAGCTGAATGAGCTGGTGATCGACAGGAACCAGGAGCTACAGTGGAGGGAGACGGCTCGATGGATAAAGTTTGAGGAAGAGGTGGAGGAGGAGACGGAGCGATGGGGGAGACCTCACATCGCCTCGCTCTCCTTCAGATCCCTGCTGGAGCTCCGGAAGACCATCTCCCACGGTGAGGAGCCCTCTGACGCCCCCTGTGGACAAACACTCACACTGCACTGTGACACTCACTGTGACACTCACTGTGACACTTTCACTGTGACACTCACTGTGACACTTTCACTGCAGTACAATATAAGAAAAGTTTAATTGTGGGCCATATTCCATTATACTTCTTTAATTAGCTGAGGGCCGATTCAAAATGGTGCGTGGGCCGTAGTTTGGACCTGAGTTATGTGTTCCTCTCTGGAGTTATGTGTTCCTCTCTGGAGTTATGTGTTCCTCTCTGGAGTTATGTGTTCCTCTCTGGAGTTATGTGTTCCTCTCTGGAGTTATGTGTTCCTCTCTGGAGTTATGTGTTCCTCTCTGGAGTTATGTGTTCCTCTCTGGAGTTATGTGTTCCTCTCTGGAGTTATGTGTTCCTCTCTGGAGTTATGTGTTCCTCTCTGGAGTTATGTATTCCTCTCTGGAGTTATGTGTACCTCTCTGGAGTTATGTGTTCCTCTCTGGAGTTATGTGTACCTCTCTGGAGTTATGTGTTCCTCTCTGGAGTTATGTGTACCTCTCTCTGGAGTTATGTGTTCCTCTCTGGAGTTATGTGTTCCTCTCTGGAGTTATGTATTCCTCTCTGGAGTTATGTGTTCCTCTCTGGAGTTATGTGTTCCTCTCTGGAGTTATGTATTCCTCTCTGGAGTTATGTGTACCTCTCTGGAGTTATGTGTACCTCTCTGGAGTTATGTGTACCTCTCTCTGGAGTTATGTGTACCTCTCTGGAGTTATGTGTTCCTCTCTCTGGAGTTATGTGTACCTCTCTGGAGTTATGTGTTCCTCTCTGGAGTTATGTGTTCCTCTCTGGAGTTATGTGTTCCTCTCTGGAGTTATGTGTTCCTCTCTCTGGAGTTATGTATTCCTCTCTGGAGTTATGTGTTCCTCTCTGGAGTTATGTGTACCTCTCTGGAGTTATGTGTTCCTCTCTCTGGAGTTATGTGTACCTCTCTGGAGTTATGTGTACCTCTCTGGAGTTATGTGTACCTCTCTGGAGTTATGTGTTCCTCTCTCTGGAGTTATGTGTTCCTCTCTGGAGTTATGTGTTCCTCTCTGGAGTTATGTGTTCCTCTCTCTGGAGTTATGTGTACCTCTCTGGAGTTATGTGTACCTCTCTGGAGTTATGTGTACCTCTCTGGAGTTATGTGTTCCTCTCTCTGGAGTTATGTGTTCCTCTCTGGAGTTATGTGTTCCTCTCTGGAGTTATGTGTTCCTCTCTCTGGAGTTATGTGTTCCTCTCTCTGGAGTTATGTATTCCTCTCTGGAGTTATGTGTACCTCTCTGGAGTTATGTGTACCTCTCTCTGGAGTTATGTGTACTTCTCTCTGGAGTTATGTGTACCTCTCTGGAGTTATGTGTACCTCTCTCTGGAGTTATGTGTACCTCTCTCTGGAGTTATGTGTTCCTCTCTGGAGTTATGTGTTCCTCTCTGGAGTTATGTGTTCCTCTCTGGAGTTATGTGTTCCTCTCTCTGGAGTTATGTGTTCCTCTCTGGAGTTATGTGTACCTCTCTGGAGTTATGTGTACCTCTCTCTGGAGTTATGTGTACCTCTCTGGAGTTATGTGTACCTCTCTCTGGAGTTATGTGTACCTCTCTCTGGAGTTATGTGTACCTCTCTCTGGAGTTATGTGTTCCTCTCTGGAGTTATGTGTACCTCTCTCTGGAGTTATGTGTACCTCTCTCTGGAGTTATGTGTTCCTCTCTGGAGTTATGTGTTCCTCTCTCTGGAGTTATGTGTTCCTCTCTGGAGTTATGTGTTCCTCTCTCTGGAGTTATGTGTACCGCTCTCTGGAGTTATGTGTTCCTCTCTGGAGTTATGTGTTCCTCTCTGGAGTTATGTGTTCCTCTCTCTGGAGTTATGTGTACTTCTCTCTGGAGTTATGTGTACCTCTCTGGAGTTATGTGTACCTCTCTCTGGAGTTATGTGTACCTCTCTCTGGAGTTATGTGTACCTCTCTCTGGAGTTATGTGTTCCTCTCTGGAGTTATGTGTTCCTCTCTGGAGTTATGTGTTCCTCTCTCTGGAGTTATGTGTTCCTCTCTGGAGTTATGTGTACCTCTCTGGAGTTATGTGTACCTCTCTCTGGAGTTATGTGTACCTCTCTCTGGAGTTATGTGTACCTCTCTGGAGTTATGTGTACCTCTCTCTGGAGTTATGTGTACCTCTCTCTGGAGTTATGTGTACCTCTCTCTGGAGTTATGTGTTCCTCTCTGGAGTTATGTGTACCTCTCTCTGGAGTTATGTGTACCTCTCTCTGGAGTTATGTGTTCCTCTCTGGAGTTATGTGTTCCTCTCTGGAGTTATGTGTTCCTCTCTCTGGAGTTATGTGTACCGCTCTCTGGAGTTATGTGTTCCTCTCTGGAGTTATGTGTTCCTCTCTGGAGTTATGTGTTCCTCTCTGGAGTTATGTGTACCGCTCTCTGGAGTTATGTGTTCCTCTCTGGAGTTATGTGTTCCTCTCTGGAGTTATGTGTTCCTCTCTGGAGTTATGTGTACCGCTCTCTGGAGTTATGTGTACCGCTCTCTGGAGTTATGTGTTCCTCTCTCTGGAGTTATGTATACCTCTCTGGAGTTATGTATTCCTCTCTGGAGTTATGTGTACCTCTCTGGAGTTATGTGTTCCTCTCTGGAGTTATGTGTACCTCTCTGGAGTTATGTGTTCCTCTCTGGAGTTATGTGTACCTCTCTGGAGTTATGTGTTCCTCTCTGGAGTTATGTGTTCCTCTCTGGAGTTATGTGTTCCTCTCTGGAGTTATGTGTTCCTCTCTGGAGTTATGTGTTCCTCTCTGGAGTTATGTATTCCTCTCTGGAGTTATGTGTACCTCTCTGGAGTTATGTGTACCTCTCTCTGGAGTTATGTGTACCTCTCTGGAGTTATGTGTACCACTCTCTGGAGTTATGTGTACCTCTCTGGAGTTATGTGTACCTCTCTCTGGAGTTATGTGTTCCTCTCTCTGGAGTTATGTGTTCCTCTCTCTGGAGTTATGTGTTCCTCTCTGGAGTTATGTGTTCCTCTCTCTGGAGTTATGTATTCCTCTCTGGAGTTATGTGTTCCTCTCTCTGGAGTTATGTGTACCTCTCGGGAGTTATGTGTACCTCTCTGGAGTTATGTGTACCTCTCTGGAGTTATGTGTACCTCTCTGGAGTTATGTGTACCTCTCTGGAGTTATGTGTACCTCTCTCTGGAGTTATGTGTACTTCTCTCTGGAGTTATGTGTACTTCTCTCTGGAGTTATGTGTACCTCTCTGGAGTTATGTGTTCCTCTCTGGAGTTATGTGTTCCTCTCTCTGGAGTTATGTGTACCGCTCTCTGGAGTTATGTGTTCCTCTCTGGAGTTATGTGTTCCTCTCTGGAGTTATTTATACCTCTCTGGAGTTATTACCTCATAAAACCGATGGCTGTGCTTCCAGGCGCCGTGCTGCTGGACCTGAAGCAGAAGACGCTGCCAGGCATCGCTCAGCAGGTGGTCGAGCAGATGGTGATCTCAGATCTGATCAAAGCTGAAG